ATTTAACGTCGGATTTGGTACGGAAGATACGCATTTGTCTGGGGGGGGGGGGAAGAGGAGAGCCCGGAAGTGTGATTTGAGAAACGGATAAACCGTTCGTTGTTGTTTCGGCCACTGATCGGCGAACGTTTATGGAGGAAAGATTCTTTAATCGTTGCTAAGATTATCCGACAGAATAGAGCAGTAGAGGAGAGTCCCCCTATTATGAGGTAGGTTTCTAATATGAGATAGCAGGGTTTCCGTCAAATTAATATGCAGCATTTGGTTCCCCCGTGAATTTTATTGCCCCCGGAGTGAAATCTGTCCTGGTGAAAATTCATTTGTTAGACATGCGTGTCATCGTTGCGAAAAAGACTCGTGAGGTTGGATGTTGAAAACCCGCTATTTCATACTGGGAACCTGTCTCGTAATAGGGAACTTTTCTCTACTGAAAAGTGCTGTAAAGGTCCCGTGTTTCTTTTAGCACAGACAATAATAATTAATTCTTGGCGCTGCAAAGCCGATCTTCCTCTCGTGCTCTATTGTGAGCGTGATGGCGCAACTCTAATAACACTGCGAATGATATACCGATCGTCGGCCGGGATCGCCTACGAACGCGACACGCGTCGATCGCGCGCAAGTTGCGCAAGTGCATTCATCCAGGCGGAGATCGGCGCATCTGGGTTACACGGCGATTTATAGCGGCGGCAGGCACGGGGGACCGCGACTATTTATTCTCGCTTAATCCGCCACCCGGCTCTTCAGGCTCGGGCCCCGAGAGTCCCGACTTTTGTTTCGTCATACCGAAACGTTGTTTCACCGACGACGACGGCAACCGGCGCGCCTGGACATCCGAGAGCAATAATCGATGGTAACCACTCCATCAATGACAGGGTGGGAAGGAGGGGGGGTCGACTAATTACTAAGAAGACAGATGCGTGCCTTCGCGGATCGCCTGTTACATAAAAGGCTCCCTGCCTGAGAAATGTCCGCGTATTTATTCGTCGGTCCGGATTATGTGTACACAAGGATTACCACGGCCGAGGTTACGTCGGGGTAGCTGTAAAGGAAAAACAATTTACACCTCTCTTCCGCGAGAGAAGTGACTCACGCGAGAAAGTATTTTAATCGAGTCCGCTGATTCCGCAACGGCGCGCGCGCGCGCACGCCGCTAGGGTATATTGAGACGCGTTCATCAATTACGTAAATATCGGGATTAGGAACCCTCTGTAGGCGTTGGTGCTGTCTGGATCACTGATATCCCAATTTATGAATTTACATGGCAAGCAGCGGCGGATTCCTGGCCGATGCATCTGCACGGGTAGGCTTTGCGACTTCTTCGGGGCACATTTGTATATAATATATACATGTATCGTAAAAAATATATATAATTACAGTTATAGAGCAATGCGTGTATTTAGAAACATAAGTTTTACAAATATGCTGAAATTCGTTTGCACATCCAATTTGCATTTGGCGTCAAAACTTGCCAAACAACACGTATAGCTAAGAGACATCTTTAAGACGTCTGTAAGTCGTCTTTTAGACATATATGTTTAAAAGACAACTTAATGACGTCTTAAATATGTCTTTTAGATATGCGTGCTGCACGGGTTATTACATTATAAATGCTTTTACTATACAACTTGTTATTAAACAAATATGCTGTACTGTTTGCGCGTACATATTTTGTTGTGTAAATTTTCCTACGTGCAAACGCCCGTAGATATAATTTCCTCTATATGACTACATCTTAATAGGCGGCAATCTTTATTTATCGTCACGCTGCAACCAGGATTGTCACCTGACTGTATTTGAACCTTCGTACAGAGAATTGACACGGTTCGCACATGGGAAACCAGTATCGTGATTAAATACATAGCAATTGATTTATCACTTCGGTACTGTTATTCCCGTATTATGCTTTTCCAATAGTCTACCGCACCTCTCGCCGTTTTCGATATACTGGCTGCTGGTAGTCGTATAAACCTTGGAGCTGCTGACGTGACTGAGAATTTAATGAAATGAGACATGCACGAGCGGGATCGAAAAACTAACTTTCTCACGAGTCTTCGCATGCATACCGTGACTTCGGCTCCGCAACGGCCTTCGTATGTTCCCTTCGGCTTTACACGTAATTACGTCTCCGGCGTTAGCCGAATCGTCGCGAATTCTCGTATCGAATATATAGCTCTCGACGTATTTCAAAATTAAGCTCTTACATTTTTCTCTTCCGCTCTGTATATATAATTGTTACATAAATCTCGTTTCGAAAACGTATCAGATGTTCGAAGAAAGAAAAAACAAAGTTCCTTCGGCGGAAACGAAACTACAAATTACGATATACGATACGTATAAAGATACATATGGTATCCACTTTTTTTCAGTCCGCGGTAGGAATTATTACATCGAGGAGAAATTAATTACTTTCTTCCTCTTTCCTGCGGTTTTAGGGCCTGAGCAGAAAGACTGTCGTAACTGTTTACGGTTCTGCCGTAAGACTTAAGTCGGTGTCGGAAGCCAACGAATTGTTGTAGACGTACGTCGCATTCGTCGCATCGCGACATATACGTCTACGACAATTTTTCTGCTCGGGCCCTTAATTATACAAGTGCCCGGGAATTTTTACGACAACCGAGACAATTGATCTCGCGGGAGCGACCCAGGTCGCTTTGATCGAGAAACACGAGGCTTTCCCAGCGTAATGTTTTCCCGAAACATTTCTCTGACAACGTTGTCGGTATCGTCAAGTCACTGACGACTCAATCCAGTCAGATACGATCCGGCCCGAATGACCCCGATGACCCCGGCGAGCCACTTCTAATCGTCATACTCTTTTCTTGCCGCAGGTACGCGTGACGGTGTTGGACAAGAACGACGTGGCGCCGACGTGGGACCCGGGCCAGTGGAACTTCGAAATCTCCGAGGAGGCGCTGCCCAGCACTGTCATCACGGTACTCAAGGCCCACGACCCGGACACCATCGGTACTCTGACTTATACCCTGGTGCCGAATCATCATCGTCCCGGCGATCGCGCCGAGTCCGCGGACAATGATGGGACGCAGGGCCAATTTAAGCTGCATCCGACCACCGGCCAGCTGAGCCTCGCCGAGGCCCTCGACAGGGAGACGAAGGAGAGATACGTGCTCAAGGTGCGCGCCGACGACGGCCTGCAGCACCGGGACATCGTGCTTCATATACAGGTGATTGCGCGAGATTTGAGCGACGTGGCGTGTTAAGAGATACGTTCCCTACACGGAGAAAATAAATTACGTTAAAAATACATATTCCTCCTCACAACATTATGTTGTAAAGTAGGAGGCGCGCAACGCGATATTGTATATTACTATGAAAAATTGACGATCAATTATATTAACTTCAGTATTTTCTTGTGCATATCTGGCATTTTTAATAATACAGAAAATTTATTGCGAAACACATTACCTCAGCCAGGGTTTGAACCTGGACACTTCCCTACACTCTAGACGGGCGTCTCACCAATTCGACCACTGAGGCGTGTGGTATATTTATCGCAATAACAGTACAAAGATGTTATCTTCGCGTCTATTTTTCGACTTTAAACTGTGCTCCGATTGTCGGCAGTACACAGAACTGTTGATACGCGATTTTTAAGTATTATTACCTCGAACATAGTCAATTATATTAATATATTAAAATATACGTTTGCTGTAACATCTAATACAATAGGCACAGTAGCAAAATATTAGCTGTCGCAACTAAATATTAGCTTCCAAATTTCATTTGACCACAGCTGGCCACATTTGTTAGTTAACCGGTCAATACAGAAAATTTATCACGAAAAACACATGCCTCAGTAGTCGAATTGGTGAGAAGCTCGCCTAGAAACTAAGGGAAGTCCAGGTTCAAACTCTAGCTGAAGTATTTTTCGCAATAAATTTTCAGCATTGGCCGGTTAATTTACAAACGTGGCCAGCTGTGGTCGAATGAAATTTGGAATTTTATTATTATACTGGCAATTCGAAGAAACCAATCTTAAATATTAGCTGTCCATATTTTACAATTGGAATTTAGTTACACGTTTAGCTACGGCAGCTACGCTTTTTCTCCGTGTGACGATAGTATCGATAATTTCTTATATTGCTCACGTTGATTACTTTCTTACACAGCGGCTGCTTTTAAAATCACGAGCCATGTTCGGTAGAATCTCATTCCCGCGGTGTCGATCGACCGCTGCGATCTCTTTCGCGAAAGCGAAATAAATAACTGGACTAGCGTAAGAATACGTAGCGGCCACTCTCTCTGAAAGCATCGCGAAGTATCGAAAATGGCATTCGTAGCCATCGGCAGGGGAGTCTCGGCGAACACCGCAGTGATCCACCAGAACGAAGAGCGGGCGATTGTTCCCGAGTATCGGAATGCTCGGTGCGAGCGCGAGGGGTCAAGCCGATAATGCATTAGACACGTCCCCGTGCCGAAAGGTCGCCGACAACTTCCTACTATAACTGTAACCTATTGCTTCATATCCACGATTCTCCTCGTGGTTAAATAATAACCCGGTGCTCGTGATGGAATTTGGTCGTCGTACGAACGTCGGCGCGACGTTGGCTAATTTCTCCTCGCTCAAAGGATCGTTGCGCGAATAACGAATCGTCTTGAAGGATAAAGGCTCGCGAAAGAAAGAGAGAGAGAGAGGGGGGGAGGGGGGGGAAGCTAAGTAATCACAGCGATGAATTAATTTATGGGTGTATTTGTACGGGATATCGTTATTGCCGCGAGACCAATTACCGGTCAATTTAAAGGCAATCAATCTCTAACGGAATCGAGCCGGGCAACACGACACGGTGCAGCGTGAGATCTGTCCAATCTAGGAGAAGAAATTTGTTCTACCTAATAGCGCAGAAATTTTTTTTTCGGTTTACAATTAGGTATCTAGATAGAGAACGCAGTCTCTAAAATTCGATCTGTGAATTATCACTGAAAACAGTGAACGGTCACCGATTTCAGTGATAATCCACCGATTGACTTTTAGAGAGCGCGGGAAATTCATTAATTTAATTCGAGAACGATTTTACGTAATTTACGAAAGAAACATTTTCTTTTTAGAACAGTAAGGAAGATGTCGCGGAGGATCCCCTCAGCCATCTTTTTTACCGACACAGTCAAATATAGTTTTTCCGCCTGTAATTCTTTTTATTAGCTTTTATGCACAAAATAATACCAGGATAAGTTGCGGACCGCATTGGCATTTGAAAGTTTCAATTCGTAGTTCTAGCTAAATTTGAAATTGGCTTCATAAAATTGCAAAATTCATCCACACGACTAAAGTACGCATAAAGTACGCAAAACCAGGGACAGTCGTACGTGATTGAGTTTTAGCTACCCTGAATCATTTATAAAGTGATATTTCTAATTTCTCTTCTTTTTTTATATAAAGTCGACTGTCCCTGGTTTTGTCTTCGTGCGTACTTTAATCGCGTGGAAGAATTTTGCAATTTTACAAAGCCGATTTCAAATTTAGTTAGAAACAACAAATTGAAACTTTCAAATGCCAATATCTTTTTTATTAGACTTCTAAACCGAGTGTTTTAGGTATGAAAATGTTGTGCTATGCGATCCGCGACTTGTGCTGGTATTATTTTGTGCGTGAAAGCTAATAAAAAGAATTACAAGCGGAAAAACTGTATTTGACTGTGTCGGTAAAAAAAGATGGCTGAGGGATCCTCTTGAACCGACGACAAGAGTCGACGTAAATGAAAAATTAGTCGTGCAAGCCGCACGCAACGCGCCGGACAGTTTCGCGGGGCGTGGGTAAAGGGTCGCGGACGGATCTGATATTTTTCAATTAATGGCCGGTAATCAGGCGAAAACGCCGGCGGGACGAGGAAAGCCGGGGTGTACGGTTATAATGCCGTACGCATAAGTCAGCGCTGTCTATCGTAACGAGCGATCTCGGGCAGAACAATGTTGCGCTATTGCGTACCCGCGCAGGCATCACTCGGAAGATAAATCTACGATTGCCTGGCGACCCGCCATGCGGATTGCTCACACACTCGCCCTGCACGTGCATGCAACAATGGCACACCCGTCCTTCGCCTCGGTGAAAAAGATCGAATTCGTTTCTGCGTGATTGCGAAATGCTGCGAGAAAAATTGACCCGTGCACGGATCGGTTGCGTCAGAGCGAGAGAACGCCGGGGGGGGGGGGAAGGGGGGGAAGAGGGCAGAGAGAATAGTGTGATAAATCGCGCAACTATCGTAAAGAAGCTCGAGATTTCAATCAGAATTTCTGACCGACGAGACCATGAAATAGACTTAATCTTTAAATGCTCGCTTTTGGAACCATTCAATATACAACGGTTACACCTTGATTAACAGATTAGTAGAGGAAAGTCCTCTAAGCGATAGGCTTTTAATATGAGATAGCAGGTTTTCAGCATCAGAATTTCGTCGCAAATCTTTATTCACAACAGTTACCCGATCTAACAATGAATTTTCCGCTAAACAGATTTCGCTCCAAGGGCAATAAATTCATGGTGGAGTCAACTGACGATGCCTATTAATTTAGCAAATACCCCGCCATCTCATATTAGAAGCCGATCCCATAATATCGGACTCTCCTCTATATTCTTTCGTTAACGCAAATGCAGAAAAGCTTATGCGTTTTTAGAGAACGACAAAAAAAATGTATTCTAGAAATATATTTTATTTAGAGATTATCCCTTCGCCCTTTGGCATTAGAAGAACTTAAATCAAGTCAGTCGAAAGGTGTCCGCACCTTTATTCGGCACCCTCCTTCCCGAGATGCCTAGGCGCGCGCTATCGCGAGGCGTGCACGGTGACGCGCGGAGTGCATCGCGCGTCCCGCCTTATAATTCATTACGCGATCCGGTCGAAACGATTCGTGGCGATAAAAAACGCGAGTCAGGCCCGGGGCCCGGGCGTTTAACGAAGCCCGAAGAGGGACCCCGACCACCGGCACCGGGCCGTGCTCCGCCGGGACCCCGTCGGAGACAATCGCAAAAATTATCCTCGTGACATGTAATGGCTGAAATTCTTCTAAAGACCTCGCTTTGCCCGCCGCGTGCTCGCGCCCACTGTTCTATCCTAAGAGGCAGAAGAGAGAAGGTAGGAGAGAAAGAGAAGACTGTCAGATCCGGTTTATAGCTGATCGACAGTTTCGGGGCTCCATCGGAGTTGTTCAAGTGAGAGATTGGTCACGGCTTAGACAATTCTTTGTTAATCCGTATATTATTCTTTTTTACAAATTTCTTTGTTACGGCGATAATAATATTTATGCACATATAGAATAGCTGCGTTCTGCATTGCAAGTCCGAGGCGCCGGACTGCTCTTTTGCATTCGAGCGAGCGAGAGAGGAGAATGAGATAGAAGGGGAGGAAGGGCACTCCGACGCCTCGGATTTGCAATGCCGAGCGCAGCTGCTGTTGAATTAAATTCATTTGTGTATTAACTGCATAGTAAATTGATTTCGAAAAGTGCACTATAATTAGTCTGGACATGGCGAACGGTATCCAAACTCTTGCTTGAGGAGCTCTAGACTCCATGAAAAAGGGCCGCTCTTTATTGGTTGCGGAATTTGCCCCTTCTGGCCTCTTATATCTGGTCCCCTTGTCCCATGCCTGTTCTCTCTCCTCCTGCCTGCCTCTTTTCCTAGCCCGTGTTCTTCTCTCGCTAACCTTAACCACTTCTTCCTCGATCGACCTTCCTGGATCCCTCGGAGAATCCCCCTTTTTTTTTTACTTTGATTCTTCTCCTGCTTTCCGCTTCTCGTCAAATCTCGTTCTCGCACGAAATTATCGCGGAAGAACAGGCTATGATGGAATAAAATGGCGACACTGCCAGAACAACATGCATATATTAAATTAGAATATTTCCTGCATTCTATACAATTATTTGACAGCGGAAATTTGAAGGGACCCCAAGTTTCCTTTCGATCTCTCACTAATTTTCTTAACTGAATAATTAAATCACATTTATTTATACATATAAAACACAATTGATTTAAGCAGCGCCATTTAGTTCTCGCACATCAATTAAATAGAAATAAGCGATGTATAGAATAGAATAGAATTAGCTTCATTGTTCCCCTTAGAGTTACAATCTTCTTACATTCAGACTTACCTATACCTAAACTTATTCTAACTTATTCTACATATCTTACTCTTTAACATTTTAACACGTACACACACACACACACACACCTCCCTCTCGACTTCCGCTTCCTCTTGCTTTATTTTAATTTTCTTAATAAGCGATGTATGATATTTATTAAAAAATGCACTTGTTCATTGTATTATTGGGATCGCACAACATTTATTCCGCAAGATTGTGCGAAATTGATTGATCCTCTCTCGAGACTTAATGTGAAAAGTTTGTTATTTTCTCCTTACACATTCAAATGTTATCTCAAGCGACCAGAGTAAGATCGTTAGTGTGACATTCATCATATTCGAAAGAAACGAGACTGATTGCGTTTTCTCCGCAACTTTCGTGCGTTATAAATAGTAATCTACTTTTTTATTACGATTATATACAATTACGTACACACACGCCATATTTAGAGAACATCAAAAGTGTGTTATTGTCGCTCACGAACTGTATACATGTCTCGGTCGCGGAATCTGGGCCCCGTCTGGTACCCCCTGTCATCCCTCGGTCCTTCACCGAGGCTCAAAGCGTCTCTCTTGCCCAACCTCTTCCCATCCCGTCCCTTTTTCTTCGTCTTCTCCCTTCTTCTTCTCGCTGGCTCCTCGTCATCCACTGTCGTCTCGGGACACCATCACTTTTTGCAAACGTCTCCGAGCCCTCCTTAATCAAACCGTGCCCACTTCATTCTACCGCACCGCGCGTCCGTCCCCGCGGAAAACTTGGAAACGTTTCGAGCACACTCGAGCTCTACCTCCAGGGACGCGTATTAATCTAGCATTATCTTGTAATCACATCAATTTTCTACGCGCGAGACATTAATAATGATTTAAATAGTTGACTCATTTACCGAAGAGAAAGTTCAGTCTGCCGTTTATTTCATGCCACTGCAGTAGCAAATATCACAAATGTCAATGTAATATTTATTTGTTTGTTAAACCATTTTTTTTAAATAACGACATCGCACTTAGGAAAATAACATTTATTGTAGAAACTAAAGAATTATAAAGAAATTCGACACAAAGATGGAAACTAGTGCGAAGTCTAGCGCGAAAAAGATGGTGGTTGAAGTCTCGAATTACATATATTAATCCACTTTTTATTGAATCTCTAGCGATGGAGATTCTCTCCCGATCAGTCCAAAAGGAATAATTAATACGTATAAAATCATCTTTCACTAATGTAGCAGTCGAATTACGGGTAATCTTTTAGCATGACGTAACGTGCGAAAATCTCATCGATTAATTTCAATTCGATCTACCGATAAATAAATTAAATCATAGATTCGGCGCGCGTGATAGCCGCGCGAACGTAGACGCCACGCGGCAATAATGTAATTTACATATCTGACTATAATTTGTGTGTGTACACGAGAGATTAATGTGCCGTTTGTTGTTTAAATTATTGCGCGTTTGCGTTTTCGGCAAGCGAGAATGGGAAGAAAGGAGAAAGAGGGAGACAGAAAGAAGCCGCTACTTCTTTCGGTTTGACAAATGCGTAAAAAATGTAAATCTGCAAAAATCTACCGTTCGCTTTTGGTTTCGTGCGGCCGCGTCAGACGATTAAAAAAAAAACCCGAGCGAAACGGGTGGCATCACGGTGTCGCGCGGAAATTAATGTGAAATTATAACGAAACGCCGGCGAGACGCACTCCAATTGTGGCCCCGGCCAATTATGTTAAACCATTTATAAAATTATTTCGATTTCCTGTCAGATGCGTCGAATATTCGCAGCGGATATTCCGCAAAGGCCTGCGTCCACGGTGCTAGAGCTTGGTCCAAGTTCTAGTTTCGAGAAATGTGTAGCCAATCAACTTGCAGCTTTTGTGGAATAGCCGCAAGTTGATTGGCTATCCCGAGTCGAAATTTTGGTACTATTTTGACACTTCTAAGGATAATTTACACCTACTTAGCTGATCTATACATAGACCAGCGATAACCTACTTTGATGACATTATATTTTTTACTCCCTCCCTTGACTCTTTAATTCTAAAAATTTGCTTTACCGTCTACTTAAAAGGACCCACTTTAATACTAAATTGGCCAAAGTAGAAATTTTCGACACTATCAGTTTTAAAGTAGGAGTAAATTCTGTACTTGCAGTTCGACCTCTTTTACTGTCTTCGGTCCTACTATACAGGGTGAGTCTTTCCATATCCGGCCAAATTTTTGAGAAGGTAGAACGGATCGAGATGAACGGAAAAGTCCTGTACCATTTTGCAATTTTCGTAATAGTTAACGAGTAATTAATTATTAAAAATCGTTGTCTTAGACCGCCCAATTCGAGCGCGTGGCGAGACGTGCGCATAGCAATATCGATCGCCGGGCGGTCACATCTTGCCACGCGCTCGAATTGGGCGGTAGGCCGGCCTAAGACAACGATTTTTAATAATTAATTACTCGTTAACTATTACGAA